AGAACGAAGCACATCGCCCTGCGGTACTTCCTTGCTCGAGAGCTGCAGCAGCGTGGTCAGCTTCGTCTGCGTTACGTGGCCACTGAGGCCAACCTTGCGGATGTGTTCACCAAGGCGCTTCAGCCTTGTGACCATCAGCGTTTCTGCACTCTTCTAGGCCTTGTGCCTGCTGGACCCCACTTGCTTACTTCTTGACTCTGCTTGTACTGTGATCTTTATATATATGCCTGCATGTTTACACTTGCTAGGTTGTTATCACTGTTTCTCTTGTTATATTATCAACCTGCATGTGAACTGGTCTTGTGACCACTTGCTTGTGCTCGGAATTTGTGTGGTATCCTTGAGATCCACCCTGAGCTTGTTTTGCTTTGCTTTGACTGGTCTTGTGACCCCTTGCTCTCCCCCACTTTGCCTATGGGGGTGTGTCAAACATTATATGTGTTGTGCTTGTTTAGGCTGCAGTGGGTTAGCCTATAGGGGGTACACAATTCTAGGGTTAGGTACTTGTACTCATTTCACTGCTAGTTCACTCATTCCTCGTTCAGTTATTCTGACACCAGCGCCTCCTGATCCTCCCAATCCGCCCGTGTATGCGGGCCCATCGCATCCCCCGATGCTCACGCTCCTGCACCCGTCGACGTTCGACGAGTATCTGTCGGAACCTGACAACAACAAGCCCCCCGACGTCTACGTTCGCGCTCCGCCCCCGGCACCACGATAGGGCCAGCCACAAGACTACGCGTGGGACGAATCTGCTGTGGGCGCTGATGACGACGAGGTCGACACCGAGGCTGGCACCGCGGCTGGCACTGCGGCTGACACCGACACTGGCGCTGAGGGCGGCACCGCGGCAGATGTGTTTCCCGAGGGTGCCCTGGGCAGCGACGACGATGACGGTGTAGAGTACTGGTCGCGCGACGGGCTTCCCGAGCAGCTTCCTATTCCGACGTTTCCGCCTGTTAATCGCAAGCGACCCCACCCCTCTTCTGAGAACCGTGATGCCCGCCCCCCCTCTTTAAGGCACAAGCCCTCGCAGCATAAGCATAACTCTTATACCGCGCAGGAGAAGCTGCAGTGGATTGGGCGCATGGATGTGGCGGTGTCACTGCGCGCGCTGTCTCGCGAGTCGGGAATCCACCGCAAATGTCTCGCGGAGTGGAAGAGAGCGGCCGCCGCCGCCATGCTCAAGGAAGCGCACTCAGCACGGAAGCGGATGCACTGGCACGGGAGGGCATCGTGGTACAGGCCGATGGAGCTGAAGGTCTACGCAAGGCTTCTCGACTGGCGCCGCAAAGGTACTGCCGTCTCCGTCGGTCGCCTACAGGAGTGGTCAAGGGAGTTCATGAAGCTCCTATTCCCCGACTTGAAGTGGAAGGGGAGCCAACGGTGGTCGGAGCAGTTTCGAAAACGGTGGAATCTGAGCGTGAGCATGAAGACGAAGATTCGCCAGAAAACCGCCGAACGTAAGATGGCCTAAAATATTAATTGTACAGTGTGCTTGTTCTGCTGTTCCACGGTTTCTGGTTGTGACTCACCTTTGCATCTTAACACTGTTCGTGTGTGCGCAGATGTCGTGGAGCTGTGTCGAAAAATTGGACGCTGACGGTGTCACGCGCTGGCTCGACGAGTGCATCAAGCCCTTCATCCGGCCCCGGTTCGGCAGGCAGGCGAGGAGCGCCATGGTGGTTCTGGATTCTTACCGCGAGCATCTCACGGTTGCCGTGAAGGAGAAGTTCGCCGACCTGGACATCGTGCCAGCAGTGATCCCGTCGGGCTATACGGCGGAGGTACAGCTGCTCGACGTCTCGATCAACAAATCCTTCAAAGCTTTCATCCGCCAGCAGTACCAGAGCTAGTTTGAAGAGGAGGGCCAGGAGCGGCTGACGCCTGCAAGTAAGACTGCCACCGTTGATTGTTTGACTACGGCTTGAGTTTCCCCTCGTTGTTGTTCTAACTCCCTTGCTCTGACTTGTGGTGCAAGGAACATCAAGAAGCCCCCCCCTGCGGTGGTGCTCAGGTTGATCTCACGAGCCTGGAAAGCCGTGCCAGCGGAGCTTATCAAGAAGGCGTTCCCCACCTGTGGCATCAGCAACGCCCTTGACGGTAGTGAGGACAACCTTGGTATGGCGCACAGGCGGAGCCAGCTGTCCACGAGGTCGACGTCGATGACGAGATCATCGCCAACGGATTCCTTGGCAACAACTGCGAGGAACCTGAGTCAGCCGACGAGTAGATTCTAGCTAGGAATGTACCAGTAAAACTTCATAATGTCTAATGAGATTAATGGTTTAGATTTCATGTCAGGAAAAAATGTTTAGATTAATAAATAGTGAAATGAATACCCCTTGGGGGGGGATGCGCTTATAAAAAGTACAGGGTTTTTAGGGGGTGCGCTTATAATTGAGGACCGGCCATAAGCGCATGGCTCCAGATAGAAGCGTCGGCGCCTTTAATCAGGCGGCGCTACTATCAGGGGCGATACGGTACTGTCAGAATCTAACGAGCACAAATGAGCTTCACTGTAGGCTGTAGTGGGGTAGCCCATAAGGGGTACAACCCAAATTAGGGTTAGTACTTGCACCCACATTTCTGTTCAATGCATGATTCTCGCTCATTATTCTGACACAAGTACCTAACCCGAAAAGGGTTGTACTTTATATAAGCTACCCCACTACAGCCTACAAACATATAAATTAGTCTTAACACACCCCCTTAGGAAAAGTGGGGGATAGCAAGAACAAGCAAAGCTCAAGATGGAGGACAAAGTCACCACACAGTCCGAGCACAAGCAAATGGTCACAAGACCAGTTCACATGCAGAGTTATAACAAACACATGTAGTGCCGTGATCATAACCTAACAAGAGTAAGCATGCCAGCATATATATAATGATAATTGTACAAGGCAAAGTCAAGCAGTAAGCAAGTGAGGCAGAGTAGGCACAAGGCCTAGAACAGTGCAGAAACACTGATGATCACCAAACGCAAGTGCATTGGTGAAAATATCAGCAGTGCTGGCCCGTGTGGCCATGTAAGCAAGGCGAAGCTGACCACGCTGCTGCAACTCTCGAGCGAGGAAGTAACGCAGAGCGATGTGCTTCATTCTGTGCTCCAGTCTGTGCTCCTTACAGAATGTAATCATGGCCTTGTAGGCGACGTACAGAACCGGAGGAGAACGAGGCCGCTCTCTTGAATCGGTAAGTAGGTAGGTCAGCCAGCGTAACTCCCGTGTAAACATGGCCCCCGCGTAGACCTCAGCCTCACAACTGGAGCTTAGAACATAAGACGATCGGGTAGAACTCCAGGAAACTGAATTGGAGCCAAGGCTGAAGGTGTAACCCTTTGAGTCGCCTGATCATCCGCTCAAGAAGCGTCTTAGTGTCCAGTGAGTACAACTGAACCCCGTCCTCCAAGCACGAGCCCCATGCCCGATGTACTGCACAAGTAACGCCGTACCCTCCTAGCAGCCCGCCAGTGCTCTGGTCGGTGTCTCCCAGGTGCAACGTAGCATGCCAGGATGATGAGTGGGTACGCGAGGTCAGGTCGAGTGCAAGTCATCAGGTACATGAGGCAGCCCACAAGCTCTGGATACTGACCACTCGGCTCTACGGACTCGTCAATAGGTGGAGCTGAGAGCGTGTGACTAGTAGGCAGAGGAGTGGACAGTGGCAAGGAGAACAGGAAGAGGAAGCGCTGAAGGATCTGGTGCACCATGTGTGACTAGGTAAGAGTGATGGTGCGCCGTGCTCTATCCCGGGTCATCTGCAAGCCAAGGTAGCTACATAGCTCACCCAGGTCAGTGCAAGTGTGTCTCTTCTGCAGCTCCGCCTTCACAAGGGCGAGTGCCTCAATGTCAGCAGTAGCAAAAACGAAGTCGTCAACGTACACAAAAAGTTGTGCTGAAGTCAAGCGAGTGGAGCTCGTAGTCACGCTGTGCTGCAACGTGCAGTAATACCCACCCGAAGAGTGGTCATCTTCGGGGTGGGGGAGAAGGTCTGGAAGAAGTCGACCCCCTGTCGCTGACTGAAGCCTCGTGCAACGTAACGCGCCTTGAAGACAGGCAGAGAACCCGGCGGCCGTTTCACCCTGAAAATCCACATGCCATCGACTATGTTCGCCCCAGGTGGGGGAACTGCGTCAACGTAAGTGCCTGTGGACTTCTAGGATGCCATCTCTGCGTCCATGGCTGTCTGCCACTGAGAGGAGTAAGGACCCATGATCGCCTCTGAGTAAGAGGGGCAAGCAGCATGGCAGCGAGATGAGGTACAGCAGCCGCAAGACACTCGAGCTCAAACTGCCTGTCCTCAAGGACGTCCGTGCCAAGGGCACACTCACCCCCGACGGACGGAGGACAGTCAGACTCAGACTCAGTGACAAGACTCGCGACGTATTGAGACGACACGCAGCAGAACAGTCAATAAGCTCAGTGACTAAGGCAGACGCAGCAGCAGACTCAAAAGTAGGGTCAGTAAAAAGTGTGGCGAGAACACGCGTGACAATGGGACTTGCAGCACGGGCATGGTCAAACTCAGGGCCAGGAACGTTAGGAAGGGAGGACGCAGGAGGAGACGGCAGAGGGACACGCTGTGGAAAAGAGGAAGGACAAAGTTCTATAGTGTGAGTGCCAGGTACAGGAGGAGGACGCGGAGGAGGAACACGTCGACCAGTGCGAATAGTGCGCACAGGCGAGGCAGGACAAGACGCAGGCTCACGACGCTCTATAAGAGAGTCTGTCTGCTCGGTGTAAGGAGAAGGAGCACGCAGTGGGGAGTCTGGCTGTAATTGTGGCTGCGACTGGTCAGGCGGTGACACAATAAGGGAGGAGTAAGTCCAGTAGAAGACGAGAGACTAAGAACCTGGCGAAGTGTCGAGCCAGGTGGTGGCAGAGACAACGGGTGGCGGTGGAACAAAATCGGTCGCCACTGTGCAGTACCTTCTGCACCAGCACCTCAAGTGCCTCTAGCACCAGTACCTACAGCTCCAACGTCTCCAGGGTCAGTACCTACAGCTCCAGTAGCTCCAGGACCTTCAGCTCGAGTGCCTCCAACACCAGTACCTCCAGCTCCAGCGCCTCCAGCACTAGCACCTCCAGCACCAGTACCCCCAGCACCAGTACCTCCAGTACCAGCGCCACCAGCACCAGCGCCTCCAGTACCAGCGCCTCCAGTAGCTCCAGAACCTCCAGCTCCAGCGCCTCCAGCACCAGCACCTCCAGCACCAGTACCTCTAGCACCAGTACCTCTAGCACCAATGCCTCTAGCACCAGCGCCTCCAGCACAGCACTTCCAGCACCAGTACCCCTTGCACCAGCACCTCCAACATGAGTACCACCAGCTCCAGCGCCTTTAGCACCAACGCCTCCAGCACCAGCGCCTCTAGCACCAGCTCCTCCAGCACCAGCACCTCCAGTACCAGTACGCGAGCGGCACTACCAAAAGTACCACTCACGAAGCTGTTGTGGCGAGAGAGGCTCCTGCCGACGAGACTGCCACTGCTGTTCGTCCTCAGAGCCACGAGCAGTGGTACGAACGACCCCACCGGCATTAGAATGCTCAGCACCCCCAGGCCCAGCACCCCCAGACTCAGCACCCCCAGAACAAGCAGCGCCAGAGGCGTCGCCTGCAGCGTCCACATCCCTAGAGTCACCACCCACAGCAGCACCAGGGTGACTCGACAGGCTCCAAAGGCGGTGAAGACGATCGAGGCGGGAAACTCGGAGGGGTGTCCAAGCGAGGTGAATGGTGAGTAGTCGCTGTGTCGTCAGCAGCAACGTTGCCCCCCTCAGCTGGGCCAGAGGTGTCAGAGGTGACCTCCAAAGGCTCAACCAAGGGGCTTGGGTCCACCTGAGACACACCTGAGGGAGCAGGACCTTGAGGGTGAGGGGGTCTACAGGGGGAGGACCTGGAGCGAGGAAGAGTGGCGGGGGGGGGGGAGCATGGAATTGCGGTCAGGAAAGAGATGGTAGAAGGAAACCGACTCGTCAAAGGTAACGTACTGAGAGGACGGGACGCGGCGCAAGGCTGGGTGATAAAACTGCCAGCCAGGCGCGTCAGTGGGAAAGCCAAGGAAGACGCAACGAATGGTGCGAGAAGTGAGCTTGTCCGCGGTAGTATCACGGACAAGGGCCATCGAATGCCAGACCCGAAACGCCGACGCATTGCCAACCTCCCCCGTCCAGGCGAGGACTCTGGCAAGGAGAGACACGGGGCAAGAGGTTGAGCTGATGCGCGGCGTATCGGACCGCAAACGGCCACAGAAAATGGGGGGCAGCCGCATGGATCATGGAGGTGCGAGCAACCTCCATGATCAAGCCAATGCGGCGCTCAGCAACATCATTTTGCTGCGAAGAGGCCGGAAGCATGAACGATTGGACGATGACCTCCCCACAACGAAAAGCCCTCAGAAGGTGGGAGGAGAACTCACCGCCTCTGTCAAAGTGCAAACGGAAGGTCCTGCCGGAACCGCTTGTAGAGCTGGCGTCGGACAGTGCGGATCCAGGGGATTAAGACACTATGGACATCCGCCATGCTCTGCAAGGGGAAGACCATAGTATAGCGCGCGTAGTCGTCGACAACTTGCAGAAAGTAGCGCTCGCGGTCCGGTCCACTGACACGGGCTGGGCCCCACACGTCCATGTGGAGAGTCTGCAGAGGAGCCTTTATTTCAGGAAACGAGGAGGAGTGAGGAGCGGCGCACTGCCGCCCCTCGACGCAGGGAAGGCATGGCGGTGCAGGCGAGCGCGGAAGCGGGGTCAGGGACCTGGGGAGGCGAGAGACAAGGAGACGTGAGTGCATGCTACGCAGATGCGGCAGGGAGGGGTGGTACCAGAGAAGAGTCTGGTGCGTGAGAAGTCGACACGAGCAAGACGCAGCTACCTGACCGGACGCAGACACCTGACCAGATGTAGCGACCTGTGTAGGTGCAGTAGTCAGTGTGTACAGGCCAGACCCAGGCTTCCGTGTGAACGTGGCAAGGTGGCGGCCCGTCCGAGCACAAGTACAGATTGCCACACGCTCACCACTAGGAGTAGTAGTAGTGACCATCTCATCCTGAAGGACGGCGTTACTCACCAATTTCGTAGAGAGCGAGGGGAGGTGAAGACCTGAAAGTGAGCCAGAGGGGACTACTGGCCACGGGAGAACAGTGGAGGTACGTGCAACGACTGGGCCCCTAGAGGGATCAGCCAGAGAGACCGGGACAGGTGCAGAGAGCGGTGTGACTGTGGTGCTGTCTCGAAAGAGAACAACGTGACGCGCCAGAGTCAAGTGTGAAAGTTTGCAGGGCCTCAGCAGGAGTAGTACCTTGGACTAGCACCTAGAGCAGCATCTATACAAGGATCTGGAGGCACACACAAGTAACAGTCACCCTCAGCCCTAGCAGGGCAGCAGGCATGTGTGCAAGAATCTTATCAAAGCCAACATGAAAGACGTCTACCCCATCCCTGAGCAAGCCTAACCAGTTGGGGATTTCAGCGTCAACACTGTACTCGGTACGCTAGGCATCCTCGACACGGAAGAAGCAACGGGGTTCAGTGTGTCCAACCTTCCCACAGGGGAAACCAGCTCAGGGACCCATAAGCCTGATGCACGGGCAACGAACACTACCCCCCGAAGGGCCACGCTAAACAAGCCACTTACGAAGCTGCTGGGACGTGAGCGTCTCGGGCCGGCACTGCTGCTGACGCTGTCCCCCCCTTCCCTCCCCTCCCCCCCCCCCCCGAGCCTCCACTACCGCTACTGCCGCCACCACCGCCACCGCCGCCACCACCGCCTCCACCGCCACCACCATCGCGCCCACCACCGCCACCACCGCCACCACCACCGCCACCGCCGCCACTACCACCACCACCGCCGCCACCACCACCTCCATCGCCGCCACCTCCACCACCGCCACCTCAACCGCCCTTGCCCCTCTTTCCCTTGCCGCTGCGGTGCCTCCTACTAGGAGAAGACGCTGTACCAACCATTTCAGCATGAAGGAAGTAAACAATAGCAGCAGAGGCAACAGATGGCTCAAGAAGAGAGGGAGAACACCCCTCAAAGAAGGGAGTGCAGGGAGTGCCACGAGAAGCAGCGACAGCAACAACACTAGTCTCATCCCCGAGGAGTTGCTTCTCTAGCAAGTTGACGGTGAGGTCGGTGGGGTCAAGGGCATGGAAGTGATCCCTAACTGCAAGAAGAGAGTCAGGGAGGCGAGTTACGAGGAAGTAAAGGGTGATGTACATGGGGGGCGGGTTCGCGGTCAGAAAGGCTGGCTTGAGAGCAGCGCGGTAGTGAGTGTCACAAGAGCGAAGGTGGGTGATGAGATCGTCGACAGTGTGGAAGTCTGACAACTCGCGAAACAGATACGGCAGTATGAGATGGCATAGGGCAGCAGTTGGAGGAGAGTGGCGAGCAATAACGGCGTCATAGAGTTCTCTGGCGGTCTTAAGATGGCCAAAGTGGGCCCGTTAAAATAGCGGGAGGTGGTTGCGTATAGTAAGGCGAGCAGTAGCATCTCAGGTAAGCCACTGCGAACGAGCTAGGTGGTCAGCTGTATCAGCAGGTGTGGGTAGGGACCCTGACGTGTGCTCGAAAAGAGAAAAACCATCGTGAGATTCGCTCTGTAACTACAGTTGAAGGACGTCAAGCCAGGTGTCAAACCTAATCGGGTGGCCCTACACATCAAAGGTAAGAACTGAGATAGTTGCCATTGTAGGGGTAGTAATAGGGTCGGTGTGGGCAGGTCGGCGCGACAAGGGCAGTAAAGGCGCGCACGGCTCGGGCAGGACAGTGCGGCTCGCGCAGTGCGTAGGCTATGCAGGCTGCGCGGGCGACGTGCGGGGCAGCAGGGGCGCGCTACTGTAGGGCAGCAGGCGCACGCGACGGGCCAGGGCAGGGCGCACGGGCGACACGACAGGCTGGGGCAGGGCGCGCGGGCTACGCGACAGGCAGCAGGGGCGCGCGATGCGATGGGCAGCAGGGGCGCGCGACGCGACGGGCAGCAAGGGCGCGCGATGCGAGGGGCAGCTGTGGCACGTGCGAAAAAACGACAGCAAGAGCAGGTGGGGCAGCGTGTATGATGGGGCGCGCGGTAACCGCAAACGGTCACTAGCCAACGATGGGCAGGGAAAAAAAAGACAGTCTTATGAACCTACACCCTCTGAAACCATGTCAGAATCTAACGAGCAGGAATAAGCTTCATGTTATCGTCACAGTAGGCTTAAATGTGCCTAAAACGAAAGGTAGTGTGCACAGTCGGATTTCTGCGCAATGGCTTCAAATGTTCATAGCGATCTGGTCACAGCTCCAAAGGACCTGATCCAAATTGGATCTGGAACGTCTTAACGTCCTATAGAATAGGCAAATTAGATCACACAATTTCATCAAGAATAGGGTTTTGTAGGAGCTCAGAGTCATTCCCAGCTCGTAACTGTCAACGGGAGTTGTGTGTTGGCCCCGTCCTCGCTTGGGCGGAGCCGACTTCGTGGTCGGGTGTAGGGTGCAGCCGACCTGCAGCAGTGGGCGAGTTGGTCGACGAGGTTGGTCGACCTACACGGGAGCCACTGCATGGGCGCCGACTTTGGGAGGGCGCCAACTTCGGGTGGTCGACCTGGGACGTCGACCAGCCCTTCTGGTCGACCAGGGACGTCGACCAGGCCTTCTGGTCGACTTGGTTGGTCGACCAGGCCTGCTGGTCGACCAGGAGTGACGTCGACTTGGAGCTGGTCGACCAGGGGATAGTGGTCGACCTGGGGAGGTCGACTGGAGGTGGCCGTCGACTTGGGAGGTCGACCGGCACGTACCAGAGGGAGTGGTCGACCTGGGAGGTCGACCGGAAGTGGTCGTCGACCTGGGTGGTCGACGGGCATGCACTGGAGCCTCTGGTCGACCTGGTTGCCAGGTCGACCAGGTTACCTGGGTGACGAGGTGCTGCGAAGGCTTGCGATGGTCGCCCAGGTGGTTTTGGCGAGGACGACCTCGGTGATGGTATCCTGAGGTCGACGTGGTGCATCAGAAGCAGTCGTCAGCACGAAGTTGATGTGGTGTGTGCGTTGTGCAGGTGACGAGGCACTGCACGCCAATCATCTGCGAGCACCTGCGAAGTAGGTGCGCTGCTGTCCTGCGGGAGCAACGTTGGCGCGCCGTCAACCTGCGACGTTGGCACGCCGTCGACCTGCAGTGTTGGCAAGCCGCGACTCTGCACTGCTGGAGTGCGGTCGACCAAGTCGTGCTGGCACGCGGTCGACCGTGCTGCGCTGGCAGTCGTCCTGCTTGCATGCTAGATCTGATGTAGTCTTGCCTTGCCAACTTCTTTGTATCATTGTTGTCAACTTTCTCTAGTGAAACTCTTGCCAAATTGCCTTGTGAACTAGCAAGCAGTGTGTGCACTAGGAAAACGACTAAGGACCAACGAACGCAGAGATCACACGAGCAACCGTGCCTAGCCCGTAGTCTAGCTCCCGTTGTAGTAGTTATCTCCGCATGGTGCGGTGAGCGTGGACGGCACCCGACTTACCTTTCAGTCAGGTCGACGTAGAGGTCACTTACCTAAGTTGTTCGTAAGCCGGTAGCCGTGCAGTCACGTGTAGGTGACGCCTAGGGAATGGAGACCCTGGAGGCACAGCTGGAGGACGCGAGGACACGCGATGCGGCCCAGGAGTACGGAACGATCCCCTGGGCGGTTGTGGAGGCTGGCATTCGCACCATGTGAGCAACGTTGCACCCTCCTCAACCTGCGTCTCCTCGACCGGTGAACACAGAGGGCGGCGTCGACGTGGGCGTCAACGCCGGCGGTGGCCAAGTCGGCAGCAGTGCGGGAGGCACGTCGAGGCAGAGAGGTGTGATACACGCCGATGAAGTCGGCGGCGTTCAGGCACGAGGGATGCGGTCGACGGCGGCGACTGGCACCTCGCAGGGCGACGTCGGAGGTCGACGAAGCGGGTTGTCGCCGATGTCGGCGACTCAGGTGACGGCAGGCGGGATTGCTCCGAGCTACGGCTACTTCAAGTTCACGCCGGACAGGATCCTGGTCACCCCACCGCTCACTGGTCGACCCGACATCCTCACCTGGAAGGAGGCCATCGAGCCACAGCTGGAGATGGCCGGGCTGATCAACTTTGCTCGTGGTACCGTGGAGACGCCGGACGACCCCGACTTGCGAGCTGAGTTCCGCGCTGTGCAGCTGTTGACCTTCACGGTCATCTCACGGTGCTGCTCGCCGGGCGTGCAGATCGCCTTGAAGTGGTGCCGGGAGTACCTCGACGCCGGCCACCAGGCGTGGCACTTCATCGAGTCGACCTACCAAGTCACCGACGACTTGTTCATCGCCCAGCTGGAGGGACAGCTGACGAACCTGCGTATGGGCGACGAGGAGACGGCGACCGACTACTGCAACCGTGCCCGGCGAATTCTCGCCACCATCAGGATGGCCGGCGCGCAGTACTCGACGGCGTCGTACGTCACCCACGTCATGCAGGGACTCTCGAGCAGCTACAACCTTCTGAAGCGGCTGTCAATGGCGCCGAGCACGAGGACGACGCTCAACGAGGACAACTTGACCTCGTACATCCTGCAAGACGAGGCGATGCAGGAGGCTGAGCGGTCCCAGGAGCTCTTGGTGCAGGCAAACTTCGTCGCCCCAGCGAAGCAGGGAGGTCGACCGGGGCAGCGAGGATAGTCTGGCGGCGGTGGTAGCAGTGGCTGGAAGTCGGCCAAGGAGGTCGACAAGAAGAAGTCGACCAAGGACAGCGGTCGAGGAGGAGGAAGTCGGCGTCGGGAATGCTGGATCTGCCACAGCCCCGACCACCTCTCCTTTGAGTGCCCTGACCGCAGCGAATCCGATGACGACGACGCCAAGGGAGGCCGCGGGAGGTCGGCCAGCCGTTGTCCACGACGAGGCAACCAGCCGCACAAGGAGAAGCAGTCGACCAAGTCGACCTCGGTGAAGGACGCCGACTCCTCTGCTGGCGGAAAGGGGAGCGACGACAAGTCGGCGTCGTGCTCCCTGGTCGGCGTCGTGGAGCCGACCGTCTGGCAGTAACTGTTCAACCACCTGATTGAGTCGCTCTGTCTGTCTGTCAGTCTGGGGATGGTATGCTGAAGACATCGCAAGCTTAGTCCCCAACAGTCCCATGAGTTCCCTCCAGAACTTACTCGTGAATTTGGGGTCTCTGTCTGAGATGAGTGTAGCGGGGATGCCGTGGATGGTGATGATGCGGTCGAAGAAGAGTCGAGCAGTTGCTTCAGCTGTAGCTGTGGCGTTGGTCGGTATGAAGTGACCCATTTTGGAATCGTGACTACGAGCAGCTATAGCTGTAGCTGTAGCTGTAGCTGTAGCTGTAGCTGTAGCTGTAGCTGTTATCGATGACTACGAGGATGGAATCGTGTCCCCGTGAGGTCGAGGGAAGTCCTGTGATGAAGTCGAGACTAACGACCTGCCATGGCTGCTCCGGTACGGGTAGAGGCTGAAGTAACCCTGCCTTTTTCTGCTTGCTACTCTTCATCCGCTGGCACGTGTCGCAGAAGTTGACGAACTTCTGCACGTCTGCTGCCATCCGCGGCTAGTTTTAATACTTTGCTATTCCCGTTAACGGAAATGTCCCGCGTAAGGTATGTCGTGAAACTTCTCCAAAAGGATCTGCCGTAGCGGGGCGTAATTCGGTACCCAAATATTTACCGAACCCGTCCTTACCGCTAAGTCTTTCTCCCACTGTAACAGCTTCTGTTTCTCTGCCGTTGCTATTTCGCCGTCCACGGAGTACCCATGTTGGAATAGACCCTTAAGCAGAGGGTTCATCCCGTCGAGTTGGATGCCTGCTACATGACCTGGGCGGCTCAATGCGCCAGCCTTGTTGTGTAGCCCGGGTTTGTGGACTATGTCGTAGTGGAAGTGGGTCTCCAAGAAATCCACCCACCGCACCTGTCGTCGTGAGAGCGTCGGCTGCGACTTCAGGTATTTGAGACTGCAGTGGTCAGTGTAAACTGTGGTCTTGGCTCCCTCGAGGTAACACCTCCATGCCTTGAAGGCTACGACTATGGCTAATGCTTCCTTGTCAGTTCTGCTCCGTGTAGCTTCTTACTGAGGTAGGCGATAGGCTGTAAACCGTTCCCGTGATC